CAAGAAAACTGGTTAGTTACAAGGTGGAACGTTAATCTAACCGAGCAAGTTTGAGTAGCTTACATGAAGAACCGAAGCCCTTGTTTATAAACCAGCCCGGGACCTCGGTTGTTTCGTAATTGCCCGACACCCAGAAAAAATCATCGTCGTGAAGATCTTTATCCGGGGTGCCGGTCACAATTTTTTCCTTGCCCGGTCTGATCTTCAAGTAATAAGCCAAACCGTCCCCGGTGTGGCCCATGGTATATTGCCTCAATATCTCGGCGAGACCCAAGTTGGTGCCTAGACGATTGTTCAATTCGTGAACGCCGTTGATTATTCTATAGGTATTGGTTGACACTTGTGTGGGTGCCAGCCCGGTGCGGCGAAGGAACTCGGTTATAAGAGGGTTGAGCGGGAAACGGAGGCCCCCTTCGACAATAGAGAGCACGGTGAAGGGGCATTGGTCAAGTCTGCCCCAAGGTGTGGTCTCCTCTTCAGCCAGTTCGAGATGAACATCGGCCGGGATGCCGTAATCCTCTCTGAAAGTAGCTAGCGTGGCCGGAGTATCCACTAGGAAGCGGAATTTCCCCATTTGTGGCCGGCTTAGTGTATCCCGGCTGAGGGGTTTGGCACTGGTTATTGGATGCTGCTCGGTCCTGAGAGCCTCAGGAATGACAGTGGTCCCCTTGGACTCTGCAGGAAAAGGATGGCAAGTGTTAAGTGTTAGCGCGGTCGCGCAAAAGGAGCTGGATTTTAGCTCAGTCATTTAGAGTGCCAAACCACCTCGGTTGTCTAATTCTATCTAAGGAGCCCGGTCGCCCAAGCAGACCAGATGTTAGCCCGGTTGAACGACCAAGTCCTTTTGTTATCTCGGTTCTTGCTGGGGACGAGACAAACTTGTTATTTGCTCGGTTGGACTGGTTTTTTGGATCAAAAGAGGACCAGGAGCCCGGTTCACCCCAGTTTTTCAGTGTTCTTCATGAAGATGAAGAACACCAAGAACAATGGGAGGTTAGGTGCGGATTCTACGACCTGTGCCCTAATAGCTATGTTTTTGTGCCCTAATGTGTGCAATATGAAAGAAAATAGCAACAAAGTGAGGGTGGAATGACTTACCAGTGAAGGGCAGGACCTAATCCTTCAAGCACGAAGAATGGCAGCAAGTCTGGATGAAGATGCAAGAGCTCTGAGGGCGAATATCGAAGTGGCAGTAGGAAGATATGGAGTTTGAGAAGGGCATGTATGTATAGGTGAAGGAGACCGCCCAAATTCAAATTCTGGCAAAAACGGCGGGTTGGCTGCCCGATGACCAATGGCAGCCCGCCACGTGTCCCCATTTATGGCTACGACAGGACTGAAGCGACGGGTTGCAAATACGAAGGGCCAACCGAGCTACTTTCGATGAAGAGGATGTCAGCCGAGGAATATAACCGGGCAAGTTTGCAGACAATTATGTTAACTAGCCCGGTCGAGGTTCGGCGTCTTGAAGACTGGAGAAATGTTATCTCGGTCGAAGTGAGTAATCCCAGTCACGCTTTCGCGGACGGAATTAAGGGGCAATTGAGAGGGTGATTTATGATCTGGAGTTGGGCCGAGGTAGCGACCGAGCAGGTTGAGAGCCCAGCAGTGCATTGGGCCGAGATGATCGACTGTTCGCCCAGAGAAGGGCTGCCAGAACTTGGGCCGGGCAGAACTTGTCCCGCCCTAGACCGTAAAGAAGCAGCTCGGTAAGGCAGTGCTCGGTCGGACCAGGACGCTCGGTCCGAGGTTAGCCGAAGCCAGACAAGCCGAGTGACCGGCGCCCGGAAAGGCGCGGTCGGCCGAGGTTACCGTTTGACCGGCATGAAAGCTGACCATGGGGTGCTTCGGGCTAGGCTTTGCCGAGATGTCGCCTAGTCCGGTCCCCCCTTGGACTTTGCTAGGGAAGTGCTTGGGTATGAAGCACGACACGGCGCAGCAACGCATAGGGCAGCTCGGCTGCCGAGCTCCAGCTGTGATGACAGGCAGTTGAGATTAGGTGATGATTGGCATGGTTTATGCTGACAGATGGGATAGCGGAGCCACGTGTCAGGAGATGACTGGGAGTGGATATGGGTCAGAAGGTATAAAAGCATGCCTGCGCCCCCCATACTGGACGGACGAACACATCTGTAAGGATTTCTTACACTCAAACACTCTCTCCCTTCTCTCTATCCATCCTAAGGTGTGTGCTAACTTGACCGTCGGAGGGTTTTTCCGGCCACACACCGCCGGGTAGCTCACCGTTGCTTGCTCGCAGGTGATCGGACATAAACGGAGCACGAAAGAAAGGAGTACGGGCTTGCCGGAATATTTGCTCCCCGTACAAGTTAGTAGACCTACCTATTTATTTAATTTTTAATTAGTAAATATATATTTTTAAAAAATTTATAACAAAAATAGGAAATGTATACATATTTGTTTGGTATATTTATTAACAATTTCAAAATTAATTAAGAAATTTTGTACTTATTCTTAAAAGGATAGATTACATTGATAATCCCTATATTTTAACTTTTGTGTTATTTTTGTCCTTACAATTTTAATTTGGTCAATTTTAATCATAAATTTATAATTTTGTCTCAATTTGGTCTAATTGTTATAATTGCTAGTATTTTAATTTTTTTGAAAATACACACATGCGTAGCATCTGTTATACTTTAATAGACAAAATTATAAACTTGTTCAACTCAATAAGTTAATCTCAATCAATTCAATAACTATTTTCTTTCAAAAATCTTAACTGGCATTATCAATTGGACCAAATTAATACAAAATCTAAAATTAGGGATAAAAATCAAACTAATTGAAATTACATAGACCAAATTGACACAAGAGACAAAATGCGGGGACTATCAATATAATTTACCCTTCTTAAAATATGTCTAATATTGATTGTATCAATATTAAGATATATTTCTATCTGAAAAACTATTTAAGACCAGATCAGGCTAGAACCTGAATAAAAAATTAATGGCTTATTAAAAATATTTAATAATTATAAATTCAAATTTGATCAATTTTTCATTTAATTTTTTTTCATAGAATTAGGTTGTTTGATAATTTTAATTTATAATTTCAATTTTTCCTTGTATTTTTTTAAAATATTTTAAAATTATGTATAATTATAATTTCTTTTAAAAATTTCCTTTTCAATCTCAAATTAGTTATGACTTGAATTTGGTTAAAATTTATTTTTGACTTCTCATCTTCAAAAACTAACAATAAACATAAATTAATTTTTTGAATATTGTAAAAAGGTAAATAAAGAAATATATTATCAATAATAATAATAACAAAACATATTTTTATTTATTATGTGACGTCTCACCACTGTATTGATAATAGACATTAATAATAAAATTTATTACGATAATACAATAATAATATATCAAAAGATAAGTAACATGTGATCATTTTTTATAGTTATACAAAAGTACCCAAAATTATATATAACAAACAATATATGATCCACATTCAGTTTTTATATGATAAAATTCACACTTAATCTCAACCACACATTAGTTTTCTAAATCAATTTATCACTCAAACTATTTACTATTATTTTAATATTCACCTTTTCAAAATCAACCAAAACAATACTCTGAGCTCATCATTGCCCTTATTGTTGCCATGCTCACCACCTCCACTAACTATTATGCAACTTCGGTTTAGTTTTTTATCTTTGTAAATATAAAAAGACAATGTTGTGAAAATAAAAAAGTACCGTTAGAGTTTTAAAGAGTTAAAAATAAAAAATAAAAAATAAAAAAATACGTAATTTCAGGTTTACTTATTCCATGTATGGGTGTTAGATTTTTTTTTTTTTTAAATTTATAAATTATTGAATAGTGTTCATTATTTAAAATTTTATTTATTGATGGGCAATTCAATTAAATGTTTTTAATTTTTTACAAACAAGAAAATTGAAATTTTGTTTAAGAAATTTTAAAAATGGCCAAACCATAAAGAACAATAAAAGATGCCTTATTCTAAAAAAAAAAAAAAGCTCATAAATATATTATCCATTCACATATATCAAAAGAAATAACAACAACAATATAAAATATACACAAATATCCACACAAAAAAAAAATCTTCAAATCAACTCCCAAAACAAAGATAATTAACAACTATATATTTATTATCAATTTTGTTGGAAAAAAAATACATTAGAAAAAAAGTTAGATAGAGAAAAAAAATACTAACATGAAAATATAAATTTACAAAAAAAAAAAAAAAAAATACAAACAAACAAACTTGAAATAAGTTTAGATTATTGGGAAAGAGAGAGAATAACCATTGCATCATTATATTTATGGAGGAGTTGGTCGGGCTGAAAAAAAGATCAAATATTGAGTTTTTTAAAGAGAGAAGTGTATTGAATTTTTAATTTGATTGGGTTTTTAAAATTTAAAATTTATATTATTTTCTAAGAAGGTGAGAGTGGGATGAAGGTGGCTTGCCATATTATTTTGAATTTTGAAATTCAAAATCATAGACAATTAGTATTTTTATTTTTTTTATTTGAATTGTTTTGATCAATATTATTTTTGAAAAGAGTGAGGGTGACTTATCATATTGTTTTGAATTTTAAAATTCAAAATTGTAGGTAATTAGAACTTTTTTTATTTTTGGATTTTTAACTTAAGGAACTAATCAATAGATTTTTTTTATTTCTTTAAAAATTAACAAATTAACAAAATTAGTTTGGCAGTTTGGAACTTCCACAATATTCTTAAAAAGACTTTTTTCCTTATATATATAGATTTGAAAATTTTAAAAAATTATTTGGCAAACTAATTCAAAAACTTTCTTTTTTAATTTTTTTTTATAAAAATTAATCCAATTTTTAAAAAATAAAAAATATATTTTCATAGAAAAATAAATATGATGAGAAAAAAAAAAGTGTTTTTTATTTTTTTATTATTTTATTAAAAAAAAATCAGGGTGGTTTTACTATTTTGGGCCCAAAAGGCCTATTATTTGGATCCAATTGAGAGAGAGAGAGAGAGATAAGGAGAGAGAAAACTGCAAGGAATCAAACGGTAAACCCCTCTGTCTCTCCTTCCTTCGACGCCTGAACGCCTCTCTCTCTCTCTCTCTCTCTCTCTCCTCTCCATTTCAAAATCCTGATTCGCCATATGAGTTTCTCTTCTTCGAGCAGGTAGGTCACTTTCTTTCTCCCTCTCCCTCTCTCTCTCTCTCTGAATATGGTTCTTCTTTCTTAGTCTACATTTTGACTCTGCAATTCGGTGGTTCGCAGTGTCAGTTGCACTCTCAGCTGGAAATCTTCGAGCTTGTTCCTGCAATTAGGGTTTCTTTCTGGTCGCCGAAATGGAGTTTCGGCTTCTCCTCCCCGAAAATTCCCTTCTCACAACTTACCTCGGGCTTCTTCTTCTTCACCCCCTTCTGGTATGTGCCTCCTCTCTCTCTCTCTCTCTATATATATATATATGTGTCTCTGCATTTCATCTTTACATTGCTCAATAATTGCTAATAAAGTCAGTTTTCATCTCTACTCACTCAAAGGTGTTTGATTATGGACAATTGTAATTCAATTAGTTATCCATCATCAAGATATAACTTTCAACAATTTGGATAGGCTCCCAAGCACAATTATTTATTTATTTTTACTTTAGCGAGGGCAGACATAGTGTGCTTTAGCCTGCCTGAATCCATGCTCATTTTGATGTTACTAATGTTTAGTAGCACCTGAAATATTATGTTCAATGTCCTCTCATGATCGGGTTTTTATTGCTGATGAGTGAATTGTCTCATTCACTTAGTTTCATCATTCTCTCCAATTATTCCCACCTTAAACATGCAATGAGTGCTAATACACTTAATGACCATTCTCATATTAACTAAACCGATTGGACGTGATCTGCCTTGTAGTATGTTTCTTGCTTTAATTTAGTGGGCAACAACACCTGTTTTATACTTGAATTTTGCCCAATGATTTATCATCCATTATGTATTGGAAGATGAGATATCTGTTGCTGTTTTACATAAGCCACTACAAGAAATAACACTTTTAGCGACCAACTTTTTAGTCGCAAAAAGCTCATATCTGGTCGCTAATGATTTTTAGCGACCAAAAAAAGTTGGTCACCATTTAGTCTCCAAAAGCCCGTCACGGAAGGTTTTTGGCGACCAAAACTGATTTTAGTCGCAAAAAGTTAACATTTGCGACCAAATACTTTGGTTGCAGAAAGTATTTTAATTACTCGAAAGTTGTTCATTTTGCGACCAAAAACTTAGTCGCTGAAAGTTAACATTTGCGACGAACTACTTTGGTCGCCGAAAGTAGGTTGCCTATCACGACCAAAAAATCTGGTCGCCATTTGAGGCGATTTTTGGTGACCACATGTTAAGTTGGTCACTAAAAGTTATCGTTTTGCGACCACATGTTTTAGTCGCAGAAAGTTGATCACAGTAGTCAATTCTCAGAAGCTTCTCAAAGACCTATTGCTACCAAAATTTTATTGGTAGCAAAATAGTTTTCAATTTTAAAAATTATTTTTTTAAATGTAATGCTACTTTTTTTTAATACCTATAATACATTTGCAATTAATGCATAATTCATGTCCATCCAATTAATTTCAACATACCAATCCATCAACAATCCAATCTAAAAACAAAAAACCATTGAAAGAAAGTCAAAATAGTAGTTACTCTATCTAATTACTACCACCTGTCAACATGAACACATTAATATTTGACAAAATAATCATCCATCCATCCATAGTTTATAAAATAACCATCCATCCATCCATCCATTTAGTTTACAATGAATTCACCACATCAAAACATATTTAACAAAACCATCAAAGTTTCAAATACCATTCATATCCAACTGTGTGTTATATTTGTCTAATGCAAAATATATCAAAAACTTCACGTATAAGTGCAACTTAGAATTAATGCACTAGCAAACTCATGTCCATAAACACGCATGACTACACCTCTAGCTACCTGCAATAAAAAAAAATGAAGAAAACATTGTTAATAATAATAATTTTGCTTACATTTCTATTTAATTTTGTAAAATCTAATTTCACTCCCAAACTAGCAATCACATAGAGCCTTACTAGAAAGTTCAGGGAAAAAAAAAAAAAAAACCCCAAAAGAAAATAGAGAATTAATCTAACTAGAGAATGCTTCGATGGTGACACAGTTTTTAAGAACAATGAATACGATGAAACAAAATAATTGAATAGAAAACTAAACAAATAAACAAATTGTAACTTGGTTTACTGCCTCACAAGGTTTTTTTTTTGATTGGGGTGTCCGGATCAAGGTCCGACTAATCCCCAGGGATGCACAAGGCCCTCAGCAAGGAGCTTCTCGCAAGTGTACAATGGTTAATTTAAGGGTTTTCTCCCAGTCCGATGGCCCCATGGAATTGTTAGCACCTAAGAGGTTTCGATTCCTGAACCTCTAAACGTTGGAGGGAGCACACCCCCAAGACCCAAAATAAATCAGAAAAACAAATGCCCACAAGAGACAGGGCAAAGGAGACAATCATAAAATTAAAAACCCTCTAACTACACCAAGTAGGATGTCATCTACTATTTAGATTAGTGGCTTGAGAGGATTCTGGCCATAAAATGAGGGGGATTTGATGTTCAGATGTCCTGTGAGCACAAAATACATATCCTTCTGTACCTTGCTCGATTACTATTATTACGAAATAAATGTCTTGAATTCTCTTCCTATATTAGATCTCCACACCCAAAAAAAAAAAAAAAAAAGGAAAAAAAAAACATGGGCCTGTATAATCCATCTTATAATTTTCCATCAATTTCCTCTGTTCTCCATCTTAATCCTTGCACACACACAGAGACTTGGCAATCATAAGTCATATCAACTAGTCAGGATATGGTAAATGAAAACAAGTAATAGGGTTTTCCCACATTAATGAACTCCTCTTATCACTTGATCCTTGATCTTTGATCTAGTATCGCAGATAGAATTAGAATTGAACTATGGCATAGTTTTATCAACTCCAATGAGCTAAAATTGTTACATAGAAAAAGCAATGTCAACAAGACAAGAGAATGAAAAATGAAAAGAAAATAAAAGAATTAGACCCATACACTTTCTTTTCTTTGTTTTGATAAGTACTATAAAGTGTCTTTAACAAGAGCACTTAAAGGGGCATAACCTTTGTACTTAAGATGTCTACGAAGCAAAACTTAAAGTAATAACTAAACTCTTCTAAAATCAATAAAATTAAGAGAGGAATCACAGACCTTCCAGAAGAGCCAAAACGAAAGGTGCAAAATGCATCACTTTCAAACTATGTATATCCATTTGTAGGTCTTCAAAATGACACAATTTTACACCCTCCAAATGCACCACGTTAAGCACATTGATTGGAGTGTGTGTAGTTCCTTATGTTACAATGTTAATTATAAAAAAAAAAAAAAAAAAAAATTTCTTTTTTTCTTCTTTTTATCTGAAACTACAGGCTGAGAAATTTGCAAGAAAAAGAGACCTTCAGAAACAAAAATTCTATTGTTCATTTGACCAAAGAAATGGCAAGATAAAGTTTTGGAATGACAATTAGAGGAAAGAATCCCATGTTCCCTCTATCTGTACAGTTCAGTTCATTCCCTCCTTTGTGATGGATTTTTGTCATTTCTTGTCAAAATAATAACAATTATACAGAATATAGGATTCAGCTTAATGACTATTTGGCCAATTGTTTCTAGGAAGATTAAATAACTTAGAACCATTCTAATGCACATTGTAGCAGAAGAGTTCAGATCCATTTCACCAAATCCTTCTAAAGTTCTAATAAAATGTGCTGTCTCAGGAAGTACAGAGTTTTTAAGAAATTGATAAAAGTGGAGATAAAAGAATTGCCAGAACTGCCCAGCCAATTATTCTGAAAGACCTAGAAATATGACATACTCAAGACAAAACTACAAATTAACAATGATAAATTATAATGAGAAAGGTAATAAACAGAGACATACTGGACACTCAAGACAATAAAACTTGTGAGAAAAAGTAAAAGAACAAAAAAGATACTCAAATTAGAAGAAGAAAAAAAAAATAAAAAAATTACACCATCCATTGTCAGACCAGTAGTATTAACACCTGAATGGAGACCCATCATATATGGTGTAGGAGCATCAATATAGTTTACTCCACTGAAAACATTAATGGAATGTAGACGTGCTTCAACACAACAAAAAGATAAAGATTAGATGTCAATCCTTTCAAAGAATCAAATAATGCATCAGTACTAGGTAAGCACATCTAGTATTAACCAAAATTTCTTAGCAACACTTTCTAGCTGTAATTAACAATCGATGTTGACGTCATATTACAAATATGAGCAGCATATATATGACAGAATAAATTTGTCCTTGACTAGTATAAAATAATAGTCTGCAAAGACTCCAATTCTTACCTGCCATCGAAATGGAATTGTTTCTTACTTTTCTCATTTAACTCCAATATCACATACTTTGAGATAATGTTCTCTGACTAGCAAATAAAAATAAATGAAAATTGTCAAAAAAATCAGAGTCATGTTATGTCTAAGAACTTTAACCTCTTTTTGTGTTTCGCTTGCATTTTGTACGGCAAGCATCTTTGAAGAAATGATGGCTGCATAAAAATAAGCCTTCAGTTAGAAACATAAAATCAAAAAGTATACAAAATAACAATAGAAATAGATAAAGAATCGAAAAGTTAAGCCCATCATCATGAATGGCATAATTAAAAAGACATTGCAGCCAAATATCTAAGAGGAATGTTGATGAAATTTGTGTGGCCAAAAAAACAATGCACTAGCTAAACATTGAAGACATTGTCACCACCACTACACCAGACCATGGGACTAGAGCAATGATGTACATTGGCAAACTGCCTAGCATCAATCATGATGACCATATCTTGTAAAAAATACACCAAACTCCAATTATATCAAATCAAACAACAAAAAGAGGAAAATTTTCATTACATTTCTAACAGTACGACGTTGAAGAATATTGTAAAGTTCTACAGGCTTGCAGTATATTGAAAGGCTCTCCTCAGCTGCAATTTCCTCTTCTGGACATAAATGCAAACGAGAATAAGAGTGCATGTATTCAATTTTGTTTTGCTTTTTTGCTGGTGTATATATAAAATAAAAATAAAAAATTGTCAATTTATATAGGGGAAAAAGATGAAGAACCACTCCAAGTGTGAATCCTTAGTCATTTATTTAGGGCAGGTTACTTAATTATTTAGACAGTGCTAAAAACATAAATAACATGAACTAAAAGAGAATATACGTGGTTTCACGAGCCACTAAAGGTATGCCTGGCATTCTGGTCAGTCAATGTTGAAATATAAATTCATAGCTATCTCCTCTGTTCCAAGGTTAGTGATCACTAGCCACCCAAACCTGAAAGAAATTATCATCATTGAATGCCTTCAATTAAAAAAAAGGAAAAAGAAAAGCAGCATTCCAATTTTTCAGCTTTATAGCATCAACAATCCAATCACTGATTCATGCCAGCAATATGAGTTGGTTTCCTTTTAGTTATTAGTTTACAACATTAGTCTACAGCCAACACAGAAGATCACCACAATGCATCAAAAAAGAAAGCAAAACAAATGCAATCATATAAATGGTGGAAAGAAAGGAAAAAAAGTACGTAAAAAGTTAATGCATAACATATTTTATGGTCTTATATCTAAATGGGTAATGCTATACAAACCGACTTTTTATACAAAAAATTCATACAGAATGATATGTCTTAGGGAGCTTCTATTTCCACACACCACATTATATCAGTTCACACACTTAATTTCTGAATTTTTAGTTCAAAAGTCTGAACCAAAGATAGAGCTGAATCAAATAGTTTTCCACGTAAGTTGATTTCCGAACAAAAAAAAAATGAGTGCACTAAGAGGAAACCATGTGTGGAAATAGAAGCTGAGTGCTGCTAATACCAAAATTATCCTTAAGAAAATTTCACTCACTCAAATGCACACCCCCACACCCCCACACCCCTAAAAACCAAAGGCACCTTGTCCCTACCTTTCCCTCTCTTCGAACTCTGAATTGTACATAGAATAATCTCTTATCGAGGCTGATGAGCTGATGGAGCAATTTTTAAATTATTATTACAGCAATTCATATCTATTAAGCGAAAGCACTAAAATAGAATACTCAATTCTGATGTGAATCATAGAACAAACAAACTATATAAGGCCATGGCCTAATGAAATAAGAACTTAGGCATTAATTGTTGTTGAAATTTTATTCTTGGTTTAATTGAGCAATAAAACAACTAATGTTCATGTATGTACTAATTTGCCATGTCTATAGCAGCTAGTGGAAACAGGTTCATCGTTGAGGGAATGGGATTGCATAACACTGCTGGTCCCAAGGGGCATCAGGCTGTGGCATACCTAAGTCGTTCTGATATGTCGGTGCACTTCAACTGTAGGTTTGAAGGGTACCAAGACACACTATACTACAATAGCATAAAAGATTAATTTAACCTAATAAGATTAATCTCTCACAAAATGAGAGACTAGGCAAAACTAACACACCCATATAGTAATGAATTCTAATAGAACAAAATTAAGAAAATTAAAATTGATAATTTTCCTTAGAAATTCACAATTCCAAACATAATTAATATTACAATCCGCTAGGTTGCTTAAAAATATACAATGGGGGAAAAACCATATGAACGATTTGCATCGTAAATGTCCCTTGATTTGCCCACTAGAAACAAAACTCAACTAAAGTTTTACCGAAGAAGGTTATTTGGATAAGTAATCTCCATTTCATAAAAATAAATTTACCGAAGAAGGTTATTTGGATAAGTAATCTCCATTTCATAAAAATAAATAAATAAATAAATCATGGAACCTTTCTTGTTTTTCAATTTCCTCAATATTTTCTCGGCAGCCAAACGCATGCCTAATTCTCAGTATTTTCAATTTCCCCAGTTTTTATTTACAAATTGTAAATTATAAAAGGGAAACCCAGCCGAAAAATATAGAAAGATGGACAAGTCAATCAATCATTCACTTCAGGAAATCTAAGAACAAAACAGCCTTCCCCCCTTTAAAAACCTAACTCTGTTTCTAAGGAAGAAAAGAAAAGGAAAAAAGAGACAAGGAATAACTCAAGTTACACAAAAAAGTCAAATGCAACATCAAAAATGTTCCAACTCTGTCCAAAAATTTTGAGAAACCTAGAAAAAATGGGAACCTACAAATGTTTTCAATTTTATCAACCCTGAAAAAAGGGTTTTAAAAAAATCCCTGTTTGTAGATTTCAAATTGAAGTCAGAGAGAGAGAGAGAATTAAAAGTAAACTGAGAAAAAGAGAAACCAAGACAATATATATATATATATATGTGTGTGTGTGTGTGTTGTATAGTCGACAACTGAAATTGAGTTTGGGTCTTTTCGATGCTGTCTCGACTATTGCGATTTGCGTTGGACTCGGCTTCTGATCTTGAGAATTCCAGCTATTTGTTGCTTTGTTTGTTGGCCATAAATTGAAGTCAGAGAGAGAGAGAGAATTAAAAGTAAACTGAGAAAAAGAGAAACCAAGACAATATATATATATATATATGTGTGTGTGTGTGTGTTGTATAGTCGACAACTGAAATTGAGTTTGGGTCTTTTCGATGCCGTCTCGACTATTGCGATTTGCGTTGGACTCGGCTTCTGATCTTGAGAATTCCAACTATTTGTTGCTTTGTTTGTTGGCCATCCCAACAAATACAATATATATATATACACAAACACATAGAGAGAGAGAGAGAGAGAGAGACTAACCTGGTACAACGATGAAGAGAGCCGAAGATGAAGTGAATGAAGATGGTGGCTAGGGTTTTGTTACTGATTGGGAGTGTAGAGAGTGAGGAGATACAATGATGAAGAGCAACCAATCTAACCATGGGGAGTCGAATGAAGAGAGCAAAATCGATTTAGGAATTCATTTTTTGTTTAGCAAACATTCAAAACTACGTAGTTTTGATACAAAATATGGTCTTTTCTTTTCTGTGACCACAATAAGTTGGTCACCAAAAGTTTTGATATCCCTCTTTTTTTTTTTCTTCTTCTCTCCCGCCATTACTTTCCGCAATCATATTTTATTTTTTGGTCGCAAAAAATTACCTATTAGCTGCCAAAAAATTGTTGGTAGCGAAAACATTACCCATCAACGAGTAAAAAAATGTTAGTCGCAAAAAGTAGACTATTCGCGACCTACTCAAAAAAGGTGGTCGCCAAAAGTGTTTTTTCTTGTAGTGCTACCGAGTGAGAGAAAATTCACTTGTGTGCGAACTTTAATGTCCTAGTGTTGTGTGATTAGGCCTTGTCATCCAAATTGGGGCTCCAATCATCGGTGTAACCTTTTATTTCTCGTGTACCCAAATCTTTATTTCTCGCGATGAAGAGTAAGAATTTTTATTCATGTATCATATGGTTTCAGATCTGCTTTTGGTCAAAGCTGCAAGAGGAGATCCTGTAAGCCGCCCTCCAGCATGGATGATGCGTCAGGCAGGAAGGTATATGGCCGTTTACAGAAAGCTTGCAGAGAAATATCCATCCTTCAGAGAGAGGTCAGAGACAACTGATCTCATTGTGGAAATTTCTTTGCAGCCCTGGGAAGCTTTCCATCCTGATGGGGTTATTATTTTCTCTGACATACTTACCCCTCTACCTGCATTTGGTGTCCCATTTGACATAGAAGAGGTGAGGGGTCCAGTTATTCAGACCCCACTTCGTTCTGAGGAGGGCTTGAAAGCATTGCATCCAATCGACTTGGAGAAACTTCATTTCGTGGGAGAATCTCTCAGGATTTTGCGCCAGGAGGTATTTCTCACTCTTTTATCACATGCATTAAAAGGTGGTTGGCAGTGCTAGTTTATTGTTAGTTTGATTTTTCATGGTTTGGAATTGTATCAATAGTTCTATTAGTTTATGTTATTCTTCTTATTTAGGTTCGGGGGCAAGCTGCAATTCTCGGTTTTGTGGGAGCACCCTGGACAATCGCTACATATGTTGTAGAAGGGGGTACAACTCGCACATATACCACCATAAAAAGCATGTGCCATACAGCACCTCATGTATTGAGGGCTCTTCTTTCTCATTTAACAAGGGCAATATCAGACTACATTGTTTTCCAAGTAAAGTCTGGTGCTGATTGTATTCAAATATTTGATTCATGGGGAGGGCAACTGCCACCAAATATGTGGGAGCAGTGGTCAAAGCCTTATATTGAAGAGGTGATTTGAGTTTCTTCTGATAATCTGGACAAAGCTAATTTTCCCCATCTGCTAACATTTGCGATTCTTGAGCTCATTTTTCAGCTTTTTGTTTGTGCTGAAAACATTTTCCTTTGTCTGTGATTTGACTTTAGAAAATCTAATTTGCACCAAATAAATTCCACTTCAGTTCCTGTGATGTGCACTGTTTTGAAGTTATGGTTGTGTAATGTAATTGTCAGTTTTACTGAAAATATCATTAGAAACTTCCAATTCTTAGGCTTGAGATAATTGAGAAGCAGAACGAAAGGGTAGGATGTGTATGAATGTTGGATTGCTTTTTCCTTCTCACTTATTTGTTGATTGGCTTCAGGTTCATTCTAAACAATTCTAGTTGAGTTCTATGATGTGCATGGTCATAAACATTTTAAGTCTTTGTTGTGTTGTACTTAATGTTATTAAGAAATGCATTAGAAAATGCTAATTTGTGAGGGTCAGGAAATTAAAAGGAGAGATTTAGAAGGTGGGAGGTCCATGGACATTAAATGGATTTTGTTTTTTCTCAGTGATTTAAAATTGTTGCCTAGATTCTGTAATCTACGAACACAAACTCATCATTTTCTGTTTCAATAAAATGCTGCACTGTACTTATTGTTTTTATCCTTTTCTTTTCTTTTTGTATTGCATAATGTACATTTGTGTTGTCACTGTTACTTCTCTTTCCTTCTCAATCACCTTATGGGATTGTTGGAATTGCAGATTGTGAGTCTAGTAAGGACACAGTGTCCTGGAACTCCACTTGTTCTCTACATTAATGGGAATGGTGGCTTTCTTGAGCGGATGAAAGGAACTGGGGTTGATGTGATTGGGCTGGATTGGACAGTGGATATGGCAGATGGAAGGAAACGTTTGGGAAGTGGAATTAGCATACAAGGAAATGTGGACCCTGCTTCTTTATTTTCTCCTCTTCCTGCTTTGACTGATGAAATTAAAAGGTTTGTGATGAGAACTAAAACTTAGGACTGAACTTTTCCTTTCAATTACTGCCTATACCCCATGACATAGGCATAACTACTAGATGTTTGGATATTGACTTGCCTACTTGTTTTTTTCTTCTTTTTATACGAGTATGATATTTAATTGAAGAAGTGCCAAGAGGCACATGATCACTTGCTTTACACATTGCTTAAGCACAAATTTCACCAGTTGGATTTTGGCCCGACTTTTTGAACTGGTTGGTCACTGCAGATGGCCAGAAAAAAGGCACATAACTACATATTGGGTTGAAAGGTTATAATATTTTTCTTCAATATATATATACTTGTTTCTTTTATAAAACAGGACTAGTTTGAGTAGTGTCGATGTCCTAATATTCTTATGTTCTGTAACAAGGACAAATATATGGGTCAATGTAGGTCACAGATTCAAGTTGTCTCAAGTAAGTAACCTCCCAAAAACTTGAGGGTCAAACACAGATAAAATAGGATTGTCTGACATGGAAGAAATGGAAAATTTGGGGTCCTAGTTGCTTATAAATCTAGCAGTTTGGTTGCATAGAGCAAACATAAAACATGAGATCCCAAATTGTGAATCCAGTTTCCTGTTGATCCAACTGATTGAGTCCATTTGACAGGGTTGTGAAGTGTGCTGGCCCAAGGGGTCACATTCTCAATCTGGGCCACGGTGTTCTTGTTGGGACACCTGAGGAAGCAGTCGCTCATTTCTTTGATGTTGCAAGAAGCTTGAAGTTTGACACACTTTCTGAAGATCATTTGATGGAGGAACCTAAATTGGTGGTTTGACGGCTAAATTTTTTTCTTTTGAGTACTAGTCAATTGTTTTGTTGTAGAAATTAGCTGTTTTTTTTTTTCTTCCTTTTTTTCACTTTTACCTGATACCAGCAGCATGACTACTCTTGCTTTAGCTTGCAAATTGTTGAGGGTTTAATTAAAGCTACAAGGTTTTGCACATGCTTGTTGGTGAGCTAACTTCTTGTTCTTGTTCTTCTTCTTCTTCTATTTCCCTGTTGTATCTGTAATTAAAGATGTATAAAATGAATGATAAATTTACGCCTCTTGTTAATTGACTATGTTCCTTCTTGAAATTTATTTCCTCTGATGAACATCAATGGTAATTTACTGCTTTTAAGAAATGTTGTTATCAGATGATTGTTGGCACATGACCAGCACAATGGGCTATGTCCAGCTACAGACTAGCCTTCTAATCTTTAATTGGCATGAATCATGAGTGACTTTAACCACTGAATATTAGCTAATTAAATACAGAAATAGGTGGTGGTTGAACTTTGGGGGGAGTTTATTTTCGCAAGGAATTTGAGTGTCATAGGATAACCCTGAAAATATTGATTGGTTTTGTTGATACAAGCAAGAGGGTTTAGTTACATATTGGTTGGATGTGGCAACTGTAAATTAGGTATGGAATTTTTTGTTATTTGAAAAACACAATTACTTCATTCTGTTTTCGTTCTCGCTTTTGTTTTTGTTCTTGTTGTTTATCATTTTCTTGTTCAAATTTTATTGAGAAATTAAGCTTAGTGAACATATCCTGTGTTCATACACCGGCATAAAAAAAAGGTCGACATATTGTATGTTGATTCGATCAAGGTCTTGTTTAAGTGATCCTCTACTTTCTTGAAGATTGAAGTAGTCCTTCTGAGATTTAAAAGGTACTTGTTAATCCCCATTTATTCTAGAAATTTGCTAGTCAGATTCATCATTTTTGTCCTCCATTTCTCACGACTCTGTCAACTGTTTGCTAGAGTTTGAGTTGTTGATTTTGTTCTTCTATGTGATGGCTTTCATAAGTGAAACAAATGTTGGTCTCTCGTCAACTATTATTGCTTTTGCTTATACAACAAGAACCACTTTAATCTTACTATGAATGCTAATAGAGCCCAGAGAGATGATTTTTCCATTTTCATTCAGGTGGTATATACTATATACTTAGCCAAAACTGGTGAGACTATATATAGTGTGTGTGTGTGTGAGAGAGAGAGAGAGTGTTCTTGAAACTACCACCATGAATGTACTTTTTGTCTCCTGTATAATCTCTTTTGACTGCCTTCTTGGTGGCCGACCCACCAAAAATGCTGTCTTCCAAAGGCAAGAAAAAATATTCAGTATCAAAAAGTGCAAAAAATTGCTTTGGTTATTATGATCTGTTCTGTATCTTTTTTGTTCATGGATTTGAAGGTTTATTATCAGAGGACAGGTCATAGGGCACCTTGCCTTTGCTTTGTGCCGATCTGTGGATCTTGTTTGGGATTTTTCTGATATGACAACGCTACCTTTTGTCAGGTCTTTAAATATGAATGATGATATATATCTATGTTTGGTTGTTTGAGAAAGAGTAATACTACAAATTCATTCTTATTAATTTAAAAATTACTTAAAAATTACATGAATTTCATATTACATAAATTAATCTTCACTACTCAATTACTCACTCAAAAAAAATTTCCCTCTTGAGAATACAGCAACAAAATTTTTATGTGAAAACGATTGTAGTGATTTATTATTATTATTTTTTATTTTTCGAAATGTCGGAATCACAATTAGCCACAAGTACTAATGAGTATTTTATTTTGATGCCCTGTTTGACAAGATGGTTGGGACTAATTTAATGCACTAAAAGATAAAATCTATTAAAAAGTTAATAAGACAAAATATTATATTAAAATCATAATCATTTTATTTTTTTCTTACAAAATTATAAAAAAAATCAAAAGAAATTATAAAAAAGTCAGAAGTTTATTTCAAAGGAATCTTTTTAATTAAGTCAAAATAATAAAAAAATCAGGCTAAAAAAATTCATTCCAAACGACTCAAAGAATTCTCCAATAGAGAGCATATCTCTGAAGTCAGTATCAAATTTATCGGTTAAATAAAAACATTCGACTTTAGTCTATCAAAATTTTGTGTTCTTTAATCCAGTTATTAACCGTGATGAGTGTCCTAGTGGGTGGGTGGGGTGATTACACTTATTGTATTATTAATCATTTTATCCTCTCTACATAAACAATTATACACACTCAAATAAATTCTTACACTAACTAAGTTAATAAATTCTTTGGCACAGAAAATTGAGTCTCGGTTTACATTACTTGTACACTACATATTAACACAATTTCTACATCTCGATTGAAGATGCTCTTATTAAGTATAGAAAATAATAAATTCATAAAAATATTATACATAATGATTTGTGTAGGAAAAAAATAAAGTGAAGGAAAAAATAAATAAATTATAAGCTAATTCTTTTTTGTCTTGTCCTATGCAAATCTCTTCTCAAATTCATAATCCAATCGCAATTAGTAGAAAACTTTAATATAACATTTCTTCAAGATGTTAATCAAGAAAATGAATTTTCTTTAGTAAAGAAACAATGAAGAGAAGAAAATTGATCTCTCGGCACCATAATCCTAAAAATAAGGTCGCTACAAGGGATCGGATCTCTGCCCTTCTTCTTGTCCTATGCCTTGCCCACACAATTGACCACCTGGTAAATTATTCAATTACGTCTCAAAATTCATGCGCCTTAATTTTTTTTATATAATCTAATAATTGAAAGTATATTAAAATAGAATATAGAGAAATCTGAAAACAAAAATTCCCTAACTCTTTAAAAAAAAACCAAAAAAAACTAGGAGGATAGGATCATAGGGCCTATTTTTCTTATATTTTATTCCATTTAGGGGACTAGCTAAGATCTAAACATTGTGTGTACTAGGAACCAACCAACCATAAGATCTAAACATTGTAGATGCGTTTGATTGGGGGATTAGGTGGAGATTATTTACTATTCAGAATGCTTATTCAAAGGAGTGAGTAGTCCATCGTTTATTTTTTTTTTAGTCTGCCGGACATAGAGTTCGGCCGGACTCCTTATCCCCCATATGGGGGGATTATACTATCCCGGGGGGGTGTGGGACAATTTACTGTTGGGATTAAGTGGTAAAATGACCATTTTGACCCTCTACTATTTAATTATGTATTATATTTAGTAAAATTCAATAAAATTTATCTAGATTTGCGCTTTCTACGCATTTTCCAACACCCTACACAAAGTTGATTCGCTAAAACCTCTTTGTTCTCTTCATTTTGTGCCGATTGAAACTTGATTTCGGTGCTTCCTTCCTTATTTCCACCATTCTAGGCTCATTTCCCTTGAGTTTCTCTCCAGTAAATAATTTTTTATAGATATTTTATTGATGTTTTATTTTAAAATTTTGTTTATATTTTATTTAATTTCATTATTTAAATGTTAATAGATGTTTTATTTAATTTCATTGTTTAATTATTATTATTTTTAAAAACAAATTTATTTAAAATTTTAATTAAAAAAATAACATATATTTTTATTGATATTTTATTTATTTTATTTTAATTTTTTTTATTTAATTGTGTAAAAAATAAAATAAAATAAATTTTGATTTAATCTAGTTAAAATTAATTAAAATATTAAAGATATGTTTAATATTGCTATTACTTAGTAAATAATTGAAAAATGGTAAAATAGTCTTTTGTTCATTTATTCTATCCAGTCCGTCCAACCAAACGTTGGATTCACTAAAAATAGTCAGTTCCAGACATTTAATCGCATGAAAAAACAAGCATAGGATATATATCCAATCCAACCAAATAGCCCGGAGGATTCACAGTCTCAGGACTCAAGTACGATGGATTCTAATGCCCCTTATTCAGTCCGTCCAATCAAACACATCCGTGTGTACTAGGAACTTACCAACCAATTTATAATTAGACACACTTATTTTTTCTTTTCATTAACCTAGGCTGCTTGGTCAATTGAGACCTTTTTAGGTCAGTGGTTGTGGTGGGCTCATAGAGATCGGAGATTTCAAAGGCGACAAAAACTTATTACTAGACCCCTCTATGGGTTTAACTTTGCACATTAAGGGCCATTTTGTAATGATCCTTTGTTATTCCCTTTTCTCTTCTTTTCTTATTTTTTTAAAATTTATTGTTATGCAAAAGTTGATTTTGTAACGTAATTTTTAATATTCACTAAAACCTTTCATTCAAATACATCTTCTACAATTTTATTGTTCCTTTTTTTTTTTTCCCATTTCTATTCCAAAGGGGAGTCAAAGGGGAGTAAAAAAAAAAAAAACTAACTTTCTGAATTATATATTATGCGTTTTCACATTTTAATTTGATGTTTGAAATTTATTTTCTTCACTATTTTGGGTTTTTTTAAGGCTAACTTTTGCCTTGTGTGTTTGATTGTTTGAATACTAGTAAAATTGGAATTCTTACTTTTCTGGTTTTAGCAACCAAAAATCTCTAATCAACTCAATAAAAATATATGTATATATATATATATATATAATTATTGATCATGAACATAGTGGTAACATAAATAAGTGCAATTTAATTTGTCACCAAATGAGGGAGGTTAAATAAGAACTTCCATTGAGATAGTAAGATGGTAGAAAAAAAACGTGATTGTTGATGGTTAAAACTTTAAGTAATTGAGTCTAGGCTTTGTTATGTAAAGTTGAGAATTATCAACTTACTAACTTCATGGATCAATATTGATACGATTGATGTTAGTAATACTTTTTTAGTGCGTGTTATGCTGTCATATTATTTTTGAATCTGTTTAGTGCGTGTTATGCTGTCATGTCATTTCTGAGAGTCACTTAATTTAGTGTGTTATGCTGTCATGTCATTTCTGAGAGTCACTAATATTAATTTAGTGTGTATTATGCTGTCATTTCTAAGAATCAACTAAATAGTTCTTTTTTGTCAGTTTTTTCCCTTTTCGTATAAACTTCATTTATAATTATCCAGAAAGTCAATAATACAGGTTAGTGTGTTATGTTGTCATTATTGATAATCAGGTAAACACTATATATATTAGTTTTTCCTTCGTTTCCTATAAATTTTTTTAATAAATTGTTTAATAATTATCTAGAATGTCAATAACACTAGTTTAGTGCGGTTTTGTTGTCATTTTTCAGAATCAACTAAATAGGTCTTTTTTTTTTGTTGTTGTCATTTTTCCATTTTTTCGGTAAACTTCTTTACAAGTGGTTTAATAATTATGTTGTTAATGATTTGCTATTTCTTTTTAAGATTCGTTTCTTCATTAGTTGTTATTGCTGTTGCTATTGTTGTTTTTTTCTAGGGAGTGGGGTTCGACTTCATTGCTCGCGCGTTTTAAAGATCTCATTTTACATATGATTTGTCATATTATTAGTTTTGAGTTACTAAAAATCCCATGCCATTCTATGCTATATTTTAGACTCAACTAACTAATGCACATCTGTGAATTGCCAATTTTTGTTCATTGATCATCTCCAATAGAAATTTCTATGTTGTGTTTGGTTAACACTTATCTCTCTTCTAGACATGAAATGTGATAATTTGTATTGCAAACATGAAATACAATATATTTGTTCTTCTTTTAAATCACTTAATCTGCAAATAAATGTATTTGTGAAAAAGAATTAATAAATTACACATGAATATGACTATCGTTATCATGTATGGGCCTCTTATATATTTTCTAAATTGCCCCTCAAGGTTCTCTCTCCCCCTTCACACGTTTCCCTCTCCCTCACCATTTTTTTTTAAAAAATATTCCACATTAGTTACATATTCAAATTTGAGTTGTTTGAAATTCCTAATCTGCCCTCAAGTGATGGGAAGATTGCAAACACTCGTCAAAAATAAATATTGACTAGTCTTTAAAAAAAACCTCAATCTAAATGGCTTACTCTGTGTGTGTATATATATATATATATAATTCTTAGGTAATCATAATAATTGGATTAAATTATTGTCAGGGAGATCATAAGATATACAAAAGCATGCTTCATGAAGTCATCGACGCATAAAACAAATTTTAGCAATGCTTTGTGGATGTTAATTTCTTGTCCTAAACAATTTCGGCAGTAAACTCTTCTTGATCTTTTATATGTCCTTAGAAATTAAGCTATTTTGATGCAAATTTATAAATATGAAGCCAATTTAGATATATAATTTTTCAAAACATACACCTAAATATATTTATAATCAAGTTGAATTATATAATTAAGCTAATGAAATTAACGAGTGAATGAAGAGGAATCCAATGGTACTATATGTGGACCAAGGTATATGTGAAGATCCACGTGGGTGGGACAGATCACATCAAATATATAAGTGGGACATGCCACATACATACATATATATATATATATATATAATAATAAAATGTCATTAGTTAAGAATAAACTAATATAAAACTTTTAAATTCAGTAAGGAAAATATAAAGTACCCTACTCTACACATCAATTAAATTTTTTTTGAAAAAATCTCAAATAAATGTGCAAGAAAGTATCTTCCTAGAATGATCAACACACTAAAATAGTTTTAAACGTCAACACTCAAAAAAAATAAAAATAAATAAATAAATTCAAAAGAACTAAAAATTTGTTTGTTGAAAAAAATATAATAATAATAAAAAAAGTCATAACTTTCACTTGGATTTTCTCCTTTTTGAGAAAAAATATATTTTTGTGTTTATTTTTGCTCAAAAATAAAAAAATAAAAAAATAAAACCCTTATGAAAAAAAACATGTTCCAAAAAAGAAATTATGAAAACGAAACAAAAAAGAGTGCAAAGTTTATGATGCATCAATCTATATATAAGTGTTGAAGGAAATTCATGGTGATAAATATGATTGTATTGAAAGAGACAATAAAAGAAAAGAGCTTACTCACTTCAACTCTTGGTTCCAGCTTCATCAACTTCAAGCATTAATCGTCATTTATACAATTAGCATATATATATAGCATTTAAGCTATATATTTAGAGAAAAAAATAGAAAAGATAAGGATTTGATCCAGGCATCGATTACTGATAGAAACATCCAGCATGAATGCACTGAAGCATGGGAAGAGCTGAAAATCATATATATATATCGACCTGTAAAGTTCCAACATTCACGAGTAAATTTTTTTTTCTTTTCAATAAAAAATTGTGTGACAAAATAAACTAACAGAAGCAGCTAAAGTTAGAAAATAAGTAGTGCCAAAATCAGTGGAATATAATTTACCCTGTTTGAAAAGTTTTCATAATTTGTTTTCTTCTCTTTTTTTTCCTCCAAAAATAGAAACTAGTTTGAAAAATTAAATACCAAAAAAAATCTCTCCAAAAAAGAGAAAACCATTTGAAAATAACTAGTTTTTTTTTTTACCAAACTAATTTTTTTTTTTTTTTGAAAAAGAAAAAGAAAACAGATTTTGAAAACTCAACTTGTAAATTTTGTGGATGGCACACGAACTATAAAACTACATTGGTGCATGATGAAAGGGTGCTACCACTATGGAAAGTTTGGGAATATATATATATATATTTCATTTGATCAACACACAAGAATTATGTCTAAAAGCTAGGCATGTTTGGTTGTATTTTTTTGTTTATGTTTTCATTTTTCAAAAAATACTTGGTCAACTTGGGTAAACAATTTGGGGAAAATTTTCTTAAAACAACCATTTTTTAGGAGACGTCAAAAAATTGTTTTAACACAAAAATGAAAACGATATAAAAATGGTAGGTGCTTTTGAACTTCTCATTATTTCATTTGCAAAAACACAAAAAAAACAAATATGAAGAAAACAGAACCTAGCATAATTCTCAAACGCTATGAACAGCATGGCAACAAATGGTAATATGATTTTTTTTTTTTTTTGGCCTTCAGCTCTTATCCCTGTACAAGTAAAAGATAGCAAACAAGAAGATATCTGATCAAATTAAAAACAGATGGTAAAAGGCATGGCATTCAAGATCTATCTAGACGCCAACAAACAAAAACATGTAGTAAAATTAATATGGTGACAAATTAAGGATGAAAATTAAGGAAGTGTTATTTAGGCATTGCTTGTACTAGTTAGAACACTTTCTAAAGACATAGGAATTATCATCCTAAATGCCCACAATAAGGCTTCTAATTCAAAAAAATCAACTATATATAACTGATGTTTGATTAAAAAAAAAAAATAGTTGTAGTTAATACATTTTTGGCAAAACTTCGTTATAATATGTCAACTTAAAAACAATCTACCCCTAGCATATAGGTAATTATTCGGTAGTTCAAGAACACCACATGAAACCAATCATGTAGCAAAATTTTTTCAATTAAGACATGCCGATTCATTTTTATTAGATAGTTATGAGACAAAAAATAATCTGTTTAGTGTGTTATAATTTCTCAATTGTCAATAATACCACATAAATAATGGTTAATTATTCAGTAATTTTGGAGTATGGACACATGGTATTCAATAGTATTATGATTGGTAGAGAAGGTGGGTAAGTGTTGGGTGATTGTGAAACATGAAATGGCACATTGAATGGTGATTGGTTAGAGAGTACAAACACGTGGTACTCTGAGAATATTGATTAATTTTCCTAAATAATGTCATATGTTACTTGGAAGTTTCTTACAATTTTTCCTAGCATCCTGTAAAATTATATCTATCTTGGATCATATAATTTTTAGTACTTATATTATATCAGAAAAATACAATGTTTTTCACATAATTAGGATAGTTGTAACACCAAAGAAAAATAGTAGGAATTTAAAAAGGAAAAATATAAATTAAGAAAGAAAACGAATAAGAATCAGGGTTTTAAATATGGATTAATAGGATTAGATTTTTAGACTTTCAATACTAAAATCCATCTATATATCGGCTGATATATTCTATTGCGTTATTTAAAAATAAAAGGATGCATACAAGGTAGAATGAAGAGATTTTGTCTTGCATTGAAGATCCACAAGAAATCTAAGACAAACAGAAGATATGCTGATGTATATTAACACCAACAAACCAAAAAAAACAACACATTAAATATAAGAATTGGGTTCCATTAAATATAACTGTTTTCCTATTTATTCATTTAAAAATTATAATTATACGTTAAAAATCAGATCATGTCTAATGCCCATTCATGGCGGGCACAAGATCGTGCAGAATCCTAAGAGGCCCAAAACCAGAAAAAAAGAAAAAGAAAAGAGTAGATATTCAAATAATAGATTTTTTTTTTTTTTTTTAACCTTTGCATATTACCCACCAAAAATCTGTGATTTTGCATGAGAGAGAGAGAGAGAGAGAGAAACCTATTTTCTATCATTGCCCCTAACGTTGGTAAGTGTAAAAGACATTATGGTAAAGTTCTACATAAGTTCTTCTCTGTCTTCACTTGCAAAAGTGACTAAGAAAATTAGGGTTTTGAAACCCTTGGGCTAGGGTTTACTATCAAGGGAACGGGATGCATCAGTCCTCAACTTAATGCATAGTTCAATTATTGAATTATTTCCCTCTTTTTGTGGTTTCCTTATTCAAGAACATCAAATCTAAACTTCTAAATAGAAAAATAAATAAATACGTTGATTATACCACAAGCCTTATGGTCTATCAACATCACCCAAACATATATATCACAATTTGTTCCATCACTTCAAGAAAAATAGAATTGAATTTCATGAAACAAAGATTGGACAATTACCATTTCTGTTGCGAATCCAAAAGCAATCAAGATGACTGCATAGGGAAGCTTGAGGCTTCATCGTTGGCCTTCACTTGACTCCTCTTCTTCTTCTTCTTCTTGTATGGTATGCCCCGTGCCTTTGCTTGTGAATCCCTAACCTCGCGTAAATAAACGCGTATAGCTCCACTAGCGAAAGGATTAGTCTCCGGTAACCCACCGTTCTCTTCATATGCTGCCCTAAGCCTCCCGATTAGCGCATCAAGGCTGCCCCAAGCTTGCCTAAGCGGGCAAGTACAAGGCCCCGGTGGCTCGGGCTGCCCAAAGAACACACACCCTTGTAAGTGCACTTTAGTCTTCCCAAACTGATCGAGGTAACGAAGGAAATCAAGTACATGGTTATAGTTGCAGTGAGACATGGGCACAGGAGGCCTCTGATTCTTCAAGTACTGACCAAAAGTGTTCCAATCGCGACGCTTCTGTGACTCATACCGGCTCAGTTGAGCTGGTTGCTGTTGATCAGCAGGAGCAGATCGCGACGATGATCCTTCTCCTAATTCTTTTCCTTTGTCACTTGACATTGATTAAGGCTGATAATTGGGTTCTTGTGAATTTTGTTTTTTGGGCAATGGAGAAGGAAAGATATTATTGAGGGGGTGCAAGAGAACAAAATTGCAGTGGGAGAAAGATGGAGATCAAATCATGGGGCTACAGAAGAGACATGGTATGGGACCAATGAAAGTGCTTTAGCTCCTCTTTTTCTTCCTCCATCACATTATTTTCTTGCTTTAATGGTGTACTATTAGTATTATTTATACTTTTTAAATATATTTTTTTTCCATATATTTATAATTATGTTACCATCATCAAAGCAATCATTATCAAGCATATTAGCAAATTTAGCACTATGATTTGGGATCTACTGACTAGGTTACCAGTAAAGTAGGTAACCTGAGTTAGGGCGCGTTTGGAAAGCGGTTAAATAGTGAAAAGGGGAGATTGAAGATAAAAAATGTAGCATCTTCCTAGGGTTTAGGGTAATGAACAAACTTGTCTCCTCTAATTTTTTGAATGGATTGAAAAGTAAAGAAGGATGACTTCAGGTATAGTTAATATAGATTTTTTTTTTTAGTTCCTATATTAAGGAAACTGTTGTTCTTACTAGCTGATGTTACTGTATTGACAGCCCATATTGAAATCACATTTAAAAAAAAAAAAAAAAATCAATTATTGAAAAAAATAAATTTAACCTGTAAGAATAGTAACATTAATGCCATGCGCAAATTCTTGATTTGGAAGGCATTTTTTAGTTTACAAGGTGGTCAATGTAGGTTGTTTCTATCTGTGGTTTGGGTAGGGGCAGTACACATGTGCATAGGATGATCACAAATGCTATTGGTAATAAAATTAGAACAGTTCATTAGAGTCTTAAATGTTCAAAATCTATGCCACTATGGAAATAGATTAATGGAACTCAGTGCTTACGACAACTTTTTAAGGGTTTTATCACCAAAAAATGTAAACAAACTTTGCTAGCTAGGGTGTACAATGACCTTTTTTTTTAATCAGCAATTATATTTTTTTAGGATAAAATTCATTTTACATCTTTGTAGTTTGAGTCAAAAGTACTTTACCCCTATATCGCTCAAATATAATTAGAAAACTTCCATGTGATTTTAGATCAAAGAGCAACCAACACCGTTAATTATAAATGTGAAAAAATAATAATACCCTCAAATCTTATATTTTTTTGTTATTTTATTTCTCTCTTCTCTCATACACATAATTTATAATGTCTAATATTAATTCAATTAAATCACAATACTTATAAATTTTTAACTATTTATTATTATTCTTAACTTTTTATTCTAATTTTTATTTAGGAAAATTTATTGTGAAATCCAATTTTGGGAATTTCTGTACCATTTGGTCTCACATTTTAAATGGTTGATTAGGGAGTCTTTATTAGGTGCAGTGTGTGACCAATAAGTTCTTTTTCAAACGTGGATGGGTATTGGTTAGACAGATTTATCCTCATTAGTTTTTTTTGATCAACAATAAAGAAATTTTATTGATGAATAATGAATTACACCAAACATCAATAAAAAAGTATGGATACACAAGCATCATAGCTAAGTAATATGATCCCGATTAGCTTGGCACTATAGAACCAGCCCAATTATCTGCAGCATCGCATCAAGTTGGTGAGCGACCAACGAAAACAAAACCACAAAAAACATCAAAAATAACCAACACCACTAGTCCCCAACATTGGTGCTCCCTGTTCACACCACGTCAAGTAAACCAAGGCCAAAAAATAGCTCTGCAGCTGTAAATCCCATCAGAATCTTAAAATCATATTTAACTTCTTCTTCACCCTATCCCCAGCCCACAAAAAATATCAAAAATAACCAACATCATTATTCCCCAACACTGGTGCTTGATAAGGATTCTAGTGCAGAAGCAACAGCCACAGCTTCAGCTTCAGCAGTAGCTTCAGCTTCAGCACCAGCTTCTGATATGGCTACTTCAACATTCAAGAACAGAGCTTCAACTGCAATTCCATATAGTCAGTTAGGAATTGGTTATCTAATTGTTAGGAGTTAGTTATCTGCTTAGATCAGCAGTAGTTTATCTTCTATAAATACAGCTTGTATGTACTATCAACATATATAATAAAAAAAAATACATTTTCCACATGGTATCAGAGCAATAAAGCTCTCACGAGCATTCTTGGGTTCTTGATTTCATTTTCTTAGTTCTTCCAAGAATCTTCAAATTTTCTCGATCATTCTTCAAAGTTCTTCAATCTTCTTCAATGGCAACTCCTACCTCCAATGCTCTTCCTTCAAATCTTAGTCTTCTCATTTCAAATCTCAGTTCTTTCATAATTGTAAAACTGGATTCTTCAAATTTCATCATTTGGAGAAGTCAATTTCTCAATATATTGCGTGCTACAGATTTGCTAGGGTTTGTTGATGGTTCTCATTCTTCTCCACCATCAACAATTACAAATGCAGATGGAACCACAGTAGTTAATCCAGAATTTCTGCAGTGGAAACAAATTGATGCACATCTATTGAGTTGTCTAATAGCTACACTCACACCCGTAATTTTCTCTTCTGTTTTACATCTTCAACATAGTGTAGAGGTTTGGCAGGTTCTGTCAAAACGATTTACTACATTGTCTCGCAGTCACATTCATCAATTGAAAAATCAATTGACTAATCTGACCAAAACTTCTTAGTCAATTAAAGAGTATCTGAGTCAGATTAAAGAGTTAGCTGATCAACTTGCTCTTGCTTCTTCTCCTGTAGATGCAGAAGATCTTGTTCTTCTTACACTGAATGGTTTACCTGAAAAATTTGATGCTTTTAAAACCACAATCCAAACCAGATCCGAAGCCATCTCTATGGAAGAACTTTCATCTCTTCTATGCTCAGAATCTATTCACATGCATTCCAAGATCAAGAACATTAATACTCATGAACCTTCAGTTGCATATGCTGCTTCTCGTGGTTCTTCTCATGATTTTTCTTCTTAAGGCCGATCTTATTTCAAAGGTCACCGAGGTGGTTCTCGACATGGCTCCCGAGGACATTTTTCATCTAGAGGCAGAGGTCGACACTCATCCAGCAGTCAACATCACAATTTAATTTGTCAGATATGTGGAAAACCTAATCACTCAGCTCTGGAGTGTTGGCATCAATTGAATGAAAATTATTCTATTCAAAATCAGTCATAGCAAAATCAGTCACAACAATTTCCAAATCTGTCAAGGCCATCTTCAACACAATCATCCTCTGGTTTTTTAAATCTGTCAAGGCCATCTTCAGCACAATCATCCTCTGGTTTTTCAAACACCAGAGCTTTTGTGGCCTCTGCTTCCTCTCCACCTTAGTATGATTCCTCTCCTTGGTATCTTGATTCTGCTGCATCTGATCATATGACTCATGATTTGTCTCAGTTGAGTCTTTATCAACCATACCAAGGCACTGATCGCATCACTGTTGGTAATGGTAATTCTATCCCTATTCTTAATATTGGTAAGGGTCTTTTACCTACTCCACATCATACTTTTAAACTCAACAAAATCTTGCACACTCCTATTGCTTCCAATCTTGTGTCTGTGCATAAACTTACTAAAGATAATAATTGTACAATCACTTTTGATGATTCTTCCTTCATTGTTCAGGACAAGCACACCAAGGACATTCTACACAAGGGCCTTAATTCACATGGTTTATATCACTTTCATACATCCAAGCCCAAGCCTTTTTCTGCTGCTATTCCACCTTCTTCATTTTAGTCTCATAATGCATTCTGCAGTTTAACTACTAATAAAGTGTCTGCTACTATTTGGCACAAGAGATTGGGGCATCCCTCATTTCTCAAGTTTAATAAGCTCAAACACTTTCTTTCTTCCACTTGTAATAAAACCAAGGATGATGATTTTACTTGTGTTCATTGTTGTGTAGCAAAGAGTCATAGATTACCTTTCAAATTGTCTAACTCTACTGTTCAAAAACCATTTTCTCTCATTCACAGTGATGTATGGGGACCTTTTTCCCTTTCTCTTTCTGGTTATAAATACTATGTACTCTTTGTTGATGAATATAGCAAATTTACTTGGCTTTATCCGTTGTGTTACAAAAATGAAGTCTTTGATATATTTGTCGAATTCACCGCATATGTTGGTACTCAATTTTCCACTCACTTGCAAATTTTTAGTACGGATGGGGGTACTGAGTTTGTTAATTCCTCTATGACTAAATTTTTCAATTCTCATGGTATTCTTCATCAAATTTCTTGTCCCTATACACCTCCTCAGAATGGAGTCTCTGAGAGAAAACATAGACACATCACTGAGACTGCCATTGCACTGCTTCACCATTCTTCTATTCCTATTAAATATTGGTTTGATGCCATTTCTGCAGCCACTTATCTGATTAATCGCATGCCTAAGTCTAAGGCTTCTCATTTTTCTCCTTATGAATTATTGTTTCACAAAGCACCTGATTACTCTTTTCTTCGTGTGTTTGGATGTCAATGTTTTCCTTGGCTTAAGTCCCACACTTCTCATAAACTTCAACCTAAATCTACTTTGTGTGTTTTTCTTGGTTATCATCCTTCTTACAAAGGATATAGGTGTCTTGATCCTTCCTCTGGTAAGGTTTATCTGTCTCGTCATGTCATCTTCCATGAAAATATTTTTCCTTTTGCTAGTATTTCTCCTCCTACTTCTCAGACCTTGTCTATGCTTCAATCATTTTTCTGGTCTCCTTCTCCTTCTCCACCTATGGATCATCCCTCTGTTTCTGTTAGTTCACTGCCACCAGTTCCCATATCTTCTTTCTCTTCTTCCTCTTTACTTTCTTCAGCAGCTCCAGTGCTCGTGCAGTCCACTGTGCCTCTGCAGTCCACTGCCTTTCCTACATCTGTCCAGTCTGCACTTCTGCAGTCCTTTGCATTCCCTCAATCTGTCCAGTCTACACCCACTGCCTTTCCTCAATCTGCCCAGTCTGCACCTCTGCAGTCCTCTACATTCCCTCACTCTGTCCAGTCTGTACTACCTCCTCAGTATGTTTCTTCTTCTTTGCCATCAGGTCCTTTTTCTTCTTTTACTCCTATTTCTACTCCTATTTCTTCTATTTTTATTGATTTACCTCTACCTCCTCCTTCTACTAATTCTCATTCTATGATTACTCGCTCTAAAGCGCATCCTCAAGTCTTCATGGCTTCTTCTTCCTCATTTTCTGACATT